GTTCTCTGATACTTAAACTAATTTTCTTGAAAAAGTGAACAATTTATCATGACATCGAATTTGGCTAGGAATTACCTTCTTATCGATATTAGAAATAATTAATTAAAAATCCTTAACAATAATTTAGTGCGTTTGACTGGTACAAAACTTGGCTGCGCAGAAGGTGGTTGCGGTGCTTGCACCGTGATGATTTCAAAATTGGACCGGCCCACAGGAGTCATTACGTATCCTTTTTTATTTATAACGTTTCTCATATATCTGAAACATATTTAAAAATTCAATTTCGTTAATCAGAGTTTCTGAAAATAATTAAGACGAATTTTATAATTTCTTTTAACTATTAAAATCATTAGACATTTGGCAGTGAATGCATGTTTGACACCGGTTTGCGCGATGCATGGCCTCGCGGTGACCACCGTCGAGGGTATCGGAAGCGTAAGAACGAAACTGCATCCGGTTCAAGAGCGGATAGCGAAAGCGCACGGTTCGCAATGCGGTTTCTGCACACCTGGGATCGTTATGTCTATGTACGCGTTACTTCGCGCCACACCGAAACCGAGTATGAGAGATCTCGAGATCGCGTTTCAAGGTAGGAATCATTTAATATCGATTGAAGTATTTTGAGCTTTCATCGTCTGATCACCTACTCGTAGGGAATTTATGCAGGTGTACGGGATACCGTCCGATCATAGAAGCTTATAAAACATTCACGGAAGAATGGGAAACGATGCAGTCAATTTCTAAGGATAAGGAGAGGTCGTTGACGAACGGGGGATGTCCGATGGGTGAAAATTGCTGTAGGAAAGTTCGAATCGCGGAGCCTACAGAAATTTTCGACTCGAACGAATTCCATCCATACGAACCCACGCAGGAAATCATATTTCCTCCTAAATTACATGTAAATCGCGTTTTTCTTTTATTCGATTATTTTATCGGTAGAAGAGAAATGAAGAATTGAATTTGTTTAAGGTCTCTTCCCATTTAGATGAGCAATACTTAGTGATTAAAGGCAAAAATGTAACGTGGCATAGGCCGAGGAACCTTGATGAATTACTTCAATTGAAAGCTCAATATCCGAACGCAAAGATCGTCGTAGGAAATACTGAACTGGGTAAAATTTATTTAATATTACTAAAACGATTTAATATACAGAGTTTTCCAGAAGAAGAACCGATAAGAGGTGATTCTGTAAGTGTTTTTAAATTATTAACGTAAAACACTGACCAAAAAGAGCACGTGTAGAGCCCGCGCTTANTTACGTAATTAGAAAAATGTGATGATAAGCTCGATTGGTAGTGATAGTATTCTTTATGGAGCTAGCGAATCGTGTTTAAATTTAATCGTAATATAAGATAATAATTGTTGACGGAGGTGTAGGAGGCTGGATAAAGGAAGGCCACGGTTGCAACTACGTTGCAGATACGTCGTAAGCAGGAACATGTGAAACGGGTGCTGGATAGGTGACGACGACGGCTACGTAGATTTTAAATAACTCACCTCTCGCCGGCGTGTATTAAAACGCCGCCGTTCGCGTGCGCTGTGTTCAACGACATACTTCTCGTACTGTTACTTCTCTGCCGATGAAATTTCTAGCAACAATCCTCCTTCATCAGCTGATTCATAAGTGATAAGTATGACGTAGCGCGCAAGCGCGTTTATCCCGATTATACCTACTCCAATTCCCGGTATCGCGTATTTATATACGACGTTCAGATAAGTGAAAATCCGAAAATACGTTCAGTCAGAGTGAATTTTTATCAAATTTTTTTTAATTCCTAGTTTTATTC